TTTCTTTTGTGTGTATACTTGAAATTCGATTGTGTCAACATTTTGTCTGTTGTTGTGGTGAATTGCAAAAATTAAATAACACAACTCAAAAATCCGTCAAGTTTCTTTAGATTTTGCCGAAAAACTGGGAGAAACAACAAGAAAGACAGCAAAAGCAAACGAAACAACAACGGTAGCAACAAAGAGCACGTACACATTCGGATCAAAAGTGCCATAGAACTATCATTGTACCACAATACTTTTCAGTAGTTTTGAATTCAGTTACACTTTCGCATTCTTTTCTACCTATTTTCCATCGGCAAACAACACAGAGAGAAAAAATTTGACATGCAAAAAACGGAGATTCAAATGTTCGCCCGTTCTCCGAAATTTGTGTGTGCAAACACAAGTTTGAACCGCAAATAAAGTTGAAATTTGTCGGAAATTGAGATGAATTCAGCAAGTAAGAAGCTTTCGTCCAAGGGGCGAATTACTACTGAAAACCGGTTTCCAGTACTTTTCAGTACCTGCGATCGATTTTCAGTAGCGGTTCAGTTTTTTAAGTACTTAGTAAATAAATGAATTTTATCGCAGTTCAGTATTGTCAAAATTTCTTGACACTTGTGTTTAATGTTTGTTTTTTAGCATTCGAAATGGAAATTGAATGTATTTTATCAAAAATAAAGTCCACTTATATTTTAATTAGAAAAGTCACAATAAAGGAACTGACATCAGAAAAGAGTGATTTATGTCGAAAATATATGTCTGGCAATTTTCGTCGAATGAAAATTTCTATGACATTGATGTGTGTATCATCAACTCTTTGAAATGTCAGTGCATCTCTGAAACCACGAAGACTAAAACCAAACCAAATTGGAATGGATTTTTTACACAAATGTTTTTCGGCGTATTTTTATTTCCAAACTACTGAATGTCGTATTTTTATAGTTTCGCACTTGTGTAGACAAATCTTTTTCAATTTTTTCTAAAATTCTACCTCAATATCAATTTTTAAACTGTATGGCGTTAATGATATAAGTCAAGTGTCATAGTTTGACGTATTCAATGCATAAACTGACACTGAAGTACTGAAAACCGGTTTTCAGTACTTTTCAGTATCAAGAAAACAAATTTCAGTAGTTTTCAGTACTTTCAGTCAATTCAGTAGTGATTCGCCCCTTGCTTTCGTCTCTCTCTATATCTCTCTCTCTCTATATATATTTCGGTAGATGCCCATATTACGATGGCAGCAGCATGTTTGCAACGATGCGAAATGGAAATCTCTTTTATTGGACTTCTAGCATTCTGTTTGATGAATGGGGTGCAGAGTCCGTAGCCAAATCAGCTTTGAAAATTGCTTTGCCTCATTACACATATGCCGTCCGAAATTGACCCGATGGTTATTTTCGGCATGAATTTTGAAACATACAAATGTCCGGCGCATGATTTGTCGCAATGTTGCCAATAAACAATTCGTAGATGCTGTGTAATTCGATGTATTATTTGTGATTCGGCTTCATGTGTGGTTCATTGAATGATAGTCGATTATTATCAATTGAATTGACTGCATGCTGTGCATTGATCCAATAATTTTCAGTTGTTAAGGTTACAATCTCGTTGGCATATACCACAATTCCAATGGATCGCAAATTTCAATGCTGATGAATGGCATTTACATTTTTTCTCTACATTTCAACAGTTGGAGCTTCACAGTTGGAGTTTTAAACAAAAATATTTTATAGAACATCAAAAACTTTTCGGTCCATCACAAAGGCATTATCTGCATTTCCATTGCGCTTTGTTGTGCATATTGCATTTTCAGCAACGGTTTGTAAATTTTGATCGCAACAAAGGCAAAACGCACCAAAAAAACCATTCCAACTGATGTTTTATCATTATATTTCTCCGTTTTAATATCAAAGTAATTGCTTTTTTCGGGGGAGGACGGTTGAAATTCGTCAAGAGAACACTTTGTTATAGAATGAAAGGCAGATTCAAATGCAGAATGGCAACAACCATTTGAAATGATTTTCATAACAAAAACTATGACAAAGCATCAAATTAAATAGAGCATGGCAGCTATCTCGTTATTTGAAAATGACTTGCTTCGGTTGCAGGTATGCATGCGTCAATCGTTTCAAATTGTATGCGTGAATCGTTCGCACACACACAAATCAACTCTACAATTTGAAGCCAACTGATGAGCATGACGTTTGCCTTTCAACCATGACATTTTGACGCTTCAACCAGCGCACTCTTCAAACAAATCCTCTTTTGGAACAGTGTCGCAGAGACGGGACGAAAAACGACGACACACTTTGAATGTAAATGACAAACAAAGGTTTTAGTAGTACATCGCTCTGCAAATATTTAAGCCCAAATATTCCACCAATTCAAAGCAATTTCAAAAATGAAAGATCTAATCAATTTCGAATTGGGCGTCCACAGACACACACAGGCTGTTCGTCAATTTTCTCGTTGTGTGTGCGTATGCTTGTGTGAGGCAAGTTTCTGTCGTCGTAAGTCATTGCATAATATTGATTTGTCGATAGCACACTTTGAATTACAGTTGATTCAAAACATCATACATATGCATTTGCCGTGCTGATTCTGTGCACATTGCTAAATGACCTACCGCGTCGGGCGATATGGTATAAAATTTCTAGCAGCTAAATTAACTAGAAAAATGGCATTGGCAACGGCAGAAACAAAAACATCCATAGCCACCACCGACAAATGGTAAATGTATGCGTTTGCAAGTGTTCTCCGGCTGAAATTGGAAATTGACGGCATTTCCACCGAACAACAGCGCGTGCACATACATATGTGTCGAATGGTAAAAAATATAAAGAGATGATCTAGAGAGATATGATTCACATGCAGAGAGAGATGCTGAAAAAAAACGAGTGCACACACAAAACACGAAACAAAAAAAAACATCATCTGAAATGAAAAATGCCAGTTGAAATTAGTTTCAGTGAATGTTTTTCTTTGGCATTTTGCATTCGTGTTCGTAATTGTATTCGTTGACAACAATTCGTAATAAAGTTGGAGTGAAATAAAAAAAATAGCTCTGAAATGAAGCACTGAACGAGCGCAAATGAAAAATCACTATAAAACAAATTGCAAGCCACACTCACAAACATGCCATCTGCTTGTAAAACCCAGGCCACACAAAAGGATTCATCATCGTTTTTTTTATCAGCTTTAGTTGCTCTCTGTGTGTGTAACCAGCATACATAGACAGAGACAAAACGAAAACATGTGAGATTTTTGTATTCTTGCAGTCGGCCGCCTCTTTTGTATGTGTGGGTGCACAACAGTATTCAGTGAATACTATTCACTGTGCGGTGAGAAGTATGCCATCGCCGTTTGAGGTGGGAGAAAATTACGAAAAACCCTAGACAACCGAATTCACATTCAAAAGTTTCTAACGTTTTTTTTTCGGTTTTACACGGTAGAAAACCAGAAAAATCATGCTTATTTCTCCTTCTTCAGCCGAAAATACATACATAGAAATTAGAAACGGTGCTCGAAGTGTTGATTTGTGAAACGGAATAAATGCCATACAGCGTTTTGACTTTACCGCGATTTTTTCTGTCACGCATTGGTTTCAACATTACAATTCGTGTTCGTTCATCTGCAACAACGTGTGACACAAAGCCAAAAATATGCAAAACATTTTCCTCGATGGAATATGCATTTTCACCAGGAAAACAAAGGAAAAAGTATTGTTGTTACCATATTTTTGCGTTATCTCAGTTTCAGTGATATGCTGCTGGATACCGTGAACATTGCATGTGCAACACAAAGACTGTATATTAATACGGCGTTTATTTTCGTCACCGTCATTGTCATTCTATGAACAGTGAAAGAGAGAGAGAGAAAAAACACACACGAACTCTTTTCAATGCTATTATTTTCTCCTAAACAACAATGCGATATATATCGTGGCAATGGTTGGCACAAAAAGCGTGGTTTGGTTTTGACGGAGGCGCCCGGAACATACGGGATTTCATGTACCTAAATGCGAATTTATGTTCGCTGACTCAAAAGCATCTCTCTGGCTCGCCTTTGGAAATATGATTTTTCTCTCAGCAACGCACACGTATACACTCATTCTCTTGTGCCACTTTTCCCCCCGCTCGTTCGCATCTCTTGTACCTGTCAGCTTTATTGTTTTCGTAAAGCACGATGCACTCACGACCAAATAAATGCTTCCGCATACAAAATAGAAACATTGAAACGCAAGACCAAAACAATAAAATGATGCAACTAACGTTAAATAAACATGTTAAACAGATGATTCGTCTGGTTTTTTTGTTGGGTGGCTGCAAC